CGAGTTATCACTGTTAAATGTGATAGTCAAAATGCAATATGTGAGGCTGCATTTCATTTGAGGGGTAATCGAGCGTGGAGAAGTCCAAGTGCTGAAGGTTTTGACAGATCATAATGCTGTTGATATGATCACCAAGACGTTGCCCAGTTGCAAGTTTTTCCACTGTATGCAGTTAATAAAGCTGCACGAAGAAAACTAGTTTCTTGATGTTATAGAGTTAGATCCAAGGTGGAGATTTGTGAGATGTTGGATCGAACTCTAGTGTGGATGAAGTTTGTTCGCGAGTAATGCGTGTTGTAGTCGAAGTCTGTTCTAACATGCATTAGTAAATATTGCTAGGGTTGTTAGCATGTTGAATTGGGCCTTGCTTATAAGCCCAATTGTTTAAGTTAGCTTGTACCTTAAGTTAGCTTGTAATGGGTAATTGTTAAAATGCCCATTAGGTTAGTGTGCTATTTTTCTTATAAATAGGATGCTAGTTTATCAATCTTGATATTGAAAAATAGGAAGATAAAATCCTAATTTCAAGAGAGAGAGATTATTTTGTTATTCTTGTATACTTGTAATCTTGTTCTAAGAGAAAGGAAAGAATAGCAGTTTAATAACCAATCCTTGTTGTTTTCTTCTTTATTAACCCTAACCCTTGTGTGTTTGTTGATCATTAAGAAGCTGTTTATACTTAGTTTTAAGGTATCTGATTCACAACATATACCTTATTCGTCTGATCATTAGTAATCAACCAGTTTTCTTCTTTTACCTGAAACATATACAAAATAATTCCCATTAGCAGTAAAATTAATAAAAATAAGATAAAAACATAATGAAATTCCTAACAAGAAAATAGTAAAAACACTGTTGATCACGTCCCTTGTTTTGATTATTCATGATCCAACTTAGAAGTATTAAGTTTACTGCGACATTTCCAAGAAAGGACTAAGATGTGTCTTAATGCATAATGGACAAGTAATGGCTTATACTTCAAGGCAATTGAAGTCACATGGAGAGAACTTTCTGACTCATAATTTAGAACTTTCTAAGAAAGGACTAAGATGTGTCTTAATGCATAATGGACAAGTAATGGCTTATACTTAAAGGCAATTAAAGTCACGTGGAAAGAACTTTCTGACTCATAATTTAGAACTAGCCGCAATCATTTTTCACTTAAGGTGTGGAAACACAACCTTTATGTATTACAATTTGAGATGTTTATTGACCAGAAAAGTCTTAAGTACTTATTGACCAAAAGGAACCCAATATGAATTAAATGAGGTGTATGTATTTGATGAAAGGTTATAATTTTTAACTGAAGTATCACCATGGAAGGCTAATAGAGTGGCAGACGCCTTGAGCCAAAAAGAGTTGCATATGGTGAAACTTATAATGCTAGAGTACCAACTACTGGAAAGAACGAGATACATAGATATAAGCTTCACATGTACTAAAGAAGGAGTCTTATTGAGCCAAATGAACATTATATACAATCATAGGGAAAGGATTGATCACGCTTAGCTAAGGGATCCAACCCTGCAGGTTAGGTTGAACAAACCAGGATTTAACCAAGCAATATACGTAGTCCTTTTTTTAAGGAATAATGTGTGTTTCGAAGGACGCTGATTTGAATATGGTGATTTTGGAAGAAGCCCATAAGAGTAACTTCACTATACACCCCGATTCAACCAAAATGTACCATTACTTAAGGATAAAATTTTGGTTGCCATGCATGAGGAGAGAAACAACATAGTTTGTAGCCCAATGTGTAATATGTAATCAGGTAAAAAACGAGCACCCAAGATCCAAAAATATGTTGCCACCTTTAGAAATACCATAATGGAAATATGAAAGCATTTTAATGGATTTTGCAGTATGACTACTTCGTACTTTAGGTGGGCATGATTCAATTTGGATGATAATAGACAGGTTGACTAAGTCAGCTCACTTTTTTCCATTAAGACTAATGACAAGATCCTTCAGTTGACCTGAATTTTCATCATAGCGATAGTAAGACTATATGGTGCACTAATAAGTATTGTATATGATTGTAATTTGAAGATCACATTGAGATTTTGGAAGGCGTTTCACCAGACCATAGGGACAAGATTGATTCTCAGTACAACAAACCACCCATAATCAGATGGTCTGACAGAAAGGACAAATCATACGGTGAAAGTTATATTCGAGCTTATATCTTGGAAGACAGGGGATATTGGAACCAACACTTACGTTAGTTGAGTTTGCGTACAACAATAGTTACCACTTCAATATTGGAATGAAACCATACAAGGCTTTGTACAACAGGGAATGTATGACACCATTGTGTTGGATAGAAGTATGAGACAAAAGGATTTTGGAGAAAAGATAAGAAGATAAGGGCAATTCAAGAAAAGACGAGGAAGACTCAGAGGTGATAAAATTAAATCCTAAAATAAATAAAAAATGACTGAATATGTACTAATAATCTCTGTTAAAAGTTTTGTAAAATTGTTCACTTGTTATTGGAGTTAATTTTTTTAAATATATGATTAATGAGTTTGAAGGAAAAATTCCAAGAAAGTAATTGAACAAAGCTTTGGACACAATTTTCATCAATTACCATACATTTTTCTTCAATTTACTAGATAATTCATGTAATTCGCGATTTATATGAATGTTATTGAGAATAATAGTTACCACCACTGTTTCTAGACAAAGATTCATAAATCACAAAAAAATTAAAGAAGAGATGTAATACAATTATATATAAGATTTTATTCATAAATCTCGACCATTGATAAAATTTAACACATTATTTTTAAGTTTCACGAATGAGGAATTTAATTGAATCCATTCCCATACACCAACATTAAAAATAATAATTAAATATGTTTAATATATTTTTAATTTCATATAAAAGAAGTAATACAATTACTAACTTATACTTTTATTTAAATTGCTATCTCTTAAAATATTAAGTAATTAATACATGTAGAATTGGATCAAATGTATTGTCCATCATTTTGTTGAGATTTAAAACAAATAAGTTAAATAATATATACAGAAAAACATGAGAAGGGTCTGAAAGACATAATCTCAGACCGAGTTTATAAAATCTGGAAAAATCCCTCAAGGGTGTCTTATATTTGTCTTTCTCTTCTTCCTAATTCAACCTTTAATCATTGTCTTAGTGACCCAAAACCCTATTTGAGTTGATGCATTGACTAATATTAGATCAAAAGAACCCTAAAATTACTAGTGGCATACTGTCATACAAAGTTAAACCCTAATACAAACAAAAAAGGACTAATTAAGTACTAATAATCTCCATTGAAAGCTTTGTAAACTTGTTATTTGAGTTAAAGTTTTTAGATATATGATTAATGAGTTTGAAGGAACCATTTTAAGAGAGTAATTAAGCAAATGATAGTACACAATTTTCATCAATCACCATAGACTTTTCTTCGATTTACTAAATATTTTATGTAACTCACGATTTATGTTACTGTTATTTAGAATAGAAATTACAACCATTGTTTCACGATAAAGATTGATAAATCACTCAAGAAATAAGCGAAATATGTAATACAATTGTATATTAGAATATGTGAATAAATCTTGATCATTGATAAGATTCAACATATTTTTCTAGGTTCAATAAATGAGAAATTTAATTAAGCTCAACCATTCTACGTCCCTATTACAAACAATAATTAAATATATTTAACTTTTTTATTTTTCAAAGTTTCATATAAAAGATGTAATACAATTACTAACATATACTCTTAAATTAAATTGCCATCTCTTAAACTTATTAAGTAATTAATACATCTAGTATTAAATCAAATGCATTGTCCATGAATTTCTTGAGATTTAAAATAAACAAATTAAACAATATATATGGAAAAATATGAAGTATGTTTGAAAGACATAAATTCAGATAAAGTGAGATTGTGAAATCAAACAAAATCGAAAAAAATCATTCAAGGACGCTTTCTATCTTGTCTTTCTCTTCTTTCTAGTTCAACCTTTAATTATTGTCTTGACAACCTGAAACCCTAATTTAGATTGATGCATTGACTAATATCAGATCAAAATAACCCGAAGATTATTAGTCGCATACTGTCATACAAAATTAAACTGTAAAACAAATAAAAAGGACTGATTAAGTACTAATAATCTCCATTGAAAATTTTGTAAACTTGTTAACTTGTTATCAAAGTTAAATTTTTTAGATATAGGATTACCACCTCTTTGGATGAGCGTTAGATTTAATGTTGATTTGGTTTTTGAGAAGCTATTAGATGCATCTTTTGCGTGAATATCACATTTTTTTAGCAAAACGCTATTGCAGACGCATAACTAACATCGCCAATGCCATATATCAAATACATGCTTAATGAGTTTGAAGAAACTGTTTAAATAGAGTAACATGACAAAAGTTTAAATACGATTTTCATCAATCACCATTGTTTTTTCTTCGATTTACCGGAAAATTTATGTATCTTATGTTTTATGTAACTGTTTTTAAGCATAATGTTTATTTGCCATTGTTTTCAAACAAACATAAATCACACAAAAAAACAAAAGAAACATCTAATACAACTCAATATGAGAATCAATTCATAACTATTGATAAAATTCACCATATTAAATTCTCAAACTTCTCAAACGCACTTAATTTTTAATTTCTTATACAAGAAGCAATAGAATGAGTAACTTATACTCAATTTAAGAGATTAAGAAATTAATACATATAGTATTGGATCAAACGGGTAATTGTCCATGGATTTGTTAGAGATTTGATTAGACAAATTAAATAATATATATACAGAGAGAGACACGAGCGAAGGTGTGAAAGACATAAACTCAGATAGAGTGAGACTGCGAAACCAAGCCGAACCAAAAAAATCACTTCTATTTCGTCTTTCTCTTCTTCCTAATTCAACCTTTAATCATTCTCTTGAAAACCTAAAACCCTAATTCACGTTGATGCATTGACAAATATCAGATCAGAAGAAACCCTAACAATGGCGATGGCTGAATTAGGGCAACAGACGGTGCCGTTGTCCACCCTAGTTTCTCGCACCGGTCAAGATTCCTACAACTCTCTGAAGGAGCTTGTTGATAAATGTAGGTCCACCGATTCTTCTGATACTGATAAGAAGATTAGCATGCTGAAATTTCTTAACAAGACTCGGCAGAGGATGATCCGACTCAATGTCCTTGCGAAATGGTGCCAACAGGTAAAAGCTTTTTATCTCATTTGATTTCTCTTATTGAATTTCAACTCTGTTATAGGTTCTTGTTATTAATTGTTATATATAGTTTAATGTTTGATGATAGACAGGGTTAGTATTGTTAATTCTAATGGTTGAAATATTAATAACTAGTGTTAGAGCAAGATTAAGAATGTTATGTTTATGTGATTATTTGATTAAAATATACATATGGAGTGTGTTGGTTATGTATGATGGTATGATAATTGTTTTGGTTTTGTATGATACGGTTATGATAATGATGATATAAATTAGTGTTGGAGCATGGGAAAGAAGGTTTAATTATGTGATGATTTGGTTATAATTTCTGGCGTTTCAGGTTCCGTTGATACAGCACTGTCAGCAACTGTCTTCGACTGTTTCGAATCACGATATGTGTTTTACTCAGGCTGCGGATTCTTTGTTTTTCATGCACGAGGGGCTTCAGCTAGCTCGGGCACCGGTTTATGATGTTCCGACTGCTATTGAAATTCTCCTTACGGGGAGTTACGAGCGTTTGCCGAAGTGTATTGAAGATGTTGGTTCTCAGTATGCGTTGACTGAAGATAAGCAAAAGCCTGCTTTGAAGAAGTTGGACATGCTTGTTCGGTCTAAGTTGCTTGAAGTTTCTCTTCCCAAAGAAATTTCTGGTATTAAAGTTTCTGATGGTACTGCAATGGTTAGGGTGGATGGAGAATTTCAGGTTTTATTGACACTTGGGTACCGAGGACACATGTCCTTGTGGAGAATTTTGCATTTGGAGCTGCTTGTTGGTGAAAAAAATAAGCCTGTGAAACTGGAAGAACTGCGGCGATATGTGCTTGGAGATGATCTAGAGAGACGAATGGCAGCGGCTGAAAACCCATTTTCGATATTGTACTCGATTCTTCACGAGCTGTGTGTTGCACTTGTTATGGACACAGTAATAAGGCAAGTGCAATCCCTTCGACATGGAAGATGGAAAGATGCCATTCGGTTTGAGCTCATATCTGACGGCGGCACTGGTCATGGGGCAAGTTCAAGCTCTGTGCAGAACGCTGATGGGGAATCCGAGTCATCTGGTCTACGTACTCCGGGGTTAAAAATTATATACTGGTTAGATTTTGATAAAAATGCTGGTATGTCTGATTCAGGTACCTGCCCATTTATAAAAATTGAACCTGGATCAGACCTTCAGATAAAGTGCACCCACAGTAACTTTGTCATAGATCCGTTAACCAGCAAGGAGGCAGAATTTTTCTTAGACCAGAGTTGCATTGATGTTGAGGGGTTGTTGTTAAGAGCTATTTGTTGCAATAGGTATACTCGGCTGCTGGAAATTAAAAGAGAACTGGTAAAAAAGGTCCAGGTCTGTAGAACAGCAGATGATGTTGTGCTCCAGTCTCATATGGGTGAACCTGATATTGAATACAAGCAGGTTAGATTTTGTGAAGAAATTTCAAATTGTTATTTTGTACTGGGCTCTCTGTTGTATGACTATTATGAGGTTTTGTTTAACATCCTTGTTTGGTTTGACATTTTTTGGGTTTTACTTCACATTCTTTTCGTTTCATAGAACTCTACTAGAGTCTTAATTATGAAAGTTTTTTTTTTATTAGTATTATTTTTTAATAACATTATAGCACACTAGCACTGCGATTACTTTGCTTCATAATTGCTCTTGCAGGAAATATTTGTAGTTGGGTAAATTCTGAATTTGGTATTTTTCATTTGTGAAAGTTCTCTGCTCAAAAAACATTTTTCCTTGCTTTCTGTGTCGCTTAAAGGATACAGGTTTTACAAGTTCTAGCTCTTTCTGCATTATCAGCCAATTCTTTGGGATTTACTTTGTTGACATGTATGTGTTTTTCAGTGAAATACTGTTCACTATATGACCTTTAATTTATGTCATGCATTATAACCGTTGTTGAAATTTTATGTTTTCAGTCATGGTACCTCGTGGATTTTCCATGTGTAATCTTGTGCACTACCTTCTTTATTTAATGAATCTTGATGGGTTTTAAAATAAAGATGTTTCTATCTGTAGAAGGAAGATATGGGATGCGCTAAGGATTCTGAAGGGCACGAGGTACTTCGCGTGCGTGCTCACGGCTCCTCTTTTTTTACTCTTGGAATTAGTATCAGGTACCTTATTTCACTTGTTTTTTCTTCCTAGTCTCATGCATTTTAATTAAGGCATTTTCAAATCAATTTCCCTGTTTCATATTCAGGAATGGCCGATTCCTTCTGCAATCATCACAAAGTATAGTTGTCTCTTCTGCCTTGTTAGAATGTGAAGAAGCTTTAAATCAGGGATCTATGACTGCCGCCGAGGTCTTTTTAAGTTTGAGAAGCAAAAGTATGTTGCACTTATTTGCATCTATTGGAAGGGTCTTGGGCCTTGAGGTATATTTTCCTATTATTCTCCCTATATCCTGTTCAAAGAAAACTTACTAAATCAGTTTTGAACTGTCTTTGAGCGTACTTTTATTCAGATCACCTGCTTTTCTGAGACTTATGGATTATTGGCCACCTTGCAGGTATATGAGCATGGATTGAATACAGTCAAAATACCCAAAACCTTTTTGAATGGTTCAGCTATGCTAATGATGGGGTTTCCAGACTGCGGAAGCTCTTACTTCCTGCTCATGCAACTCGATAAAGATTTTAAATCCTTGTTTAAGCTGTTAGAAACTCAACCAGATCCATCTGGAAAGGACAATTTATTTGGCGACCTTAATCAGGTTCTGCGGTTCAAGAAAATTGATATAGAACAAATGCAGGTGCTTGAAGATGAAATGAATTTAAGCATGGGGGACCGGGAAAAGTTACATTCCATTTTTCCCAATGCTGCTTGTCCAAATCAAACGTCTGGACATGAAATTTATTCTGATATCTTCCTTGAGAATTCTACACACATTGCTAGAGACCATCACCCATCAGTTTTTTCTTTAACGGTTGATGAAGTTTTTGGACTAGAGAAAGTATCTTCTGCACCTCCATTTCCTGTTCAAAATCTTTCTTCACCATTGAATACATCTCTTCCTTCTCATTATGGTTCTCTCCCAATGAATAGTCATAGTTTAAAGACTGGAATCCCATCTTCAAAGTGGGAAGGGGGCATGCAGATATCACAGGCTAGTAATAATAACGTAACTACTCACTATAATGGTTCCTTGTTCTCAGCAAACAGTGTGAAGGGTCCAGTTCAATCCAGTTCTGTTGGCTCAGTTCCCACTGGACAAGGGAGGAGCACTGTTGGGATACAGTTATCTGCCTCAAAATCTGAGCAGGATTTGACTTCTGTTAAATCTCCGCATTCAGTGGACATTACTTCCTCTACTGCAATGGATGAAGATACTGCTAATGATGCTTTATCTGGAAGTCGTTCATCTCTAGTATCTCCTCCCCGGCCTCCTATCTCTCGAATATCTGCACCTAGTTCCAGACCTAATGTACCACCAGTTGAATCGTTCAAGACTGCTGGATTTAGTTCATGTGATATGACTGCCGTGTGTAAGATACTTTCTGTGTCTTCATCTTTATTGTGTTCAGTATATCCATGCTTACATTTTTCTACCTTTCTTTAACCCATATATAACTGTAGCAAAATGAATGTTTGCAGCCCAGGGCATGGAATGTGCAGTTAATTTTAGCACTAGTGAGGATGGTATATCTGAACATGATAAAAAATCTCGTAAGCGAACAACATCAGATATGTTGAGTTTGATTCCATCTCTTCAAGGTGTTGTCAAACATCAAGGAATCTGCAAGAGACGAAAGATTTCAGATTCACGTGGCTCTCAATTGTCTTTGCCACACAGCAGTATAACCCCAGAAGTGATTCCTAAAGCTGAAGCGTGCAGTTACGGAAGTTTAATTACAGAAGCAAATAAAGGAAATGCTCCATCTAGCATTTATGTAGCGGCCCTTCTTCACGTGGTCAGGCATAGTTCACTTTGCATTAAACATGCTAGGCTAACCAGCCAGATGGATGCCTTAGAGATACCATATGTTGAAGAAGCAGGTTTTCGAAGTGCTTCCTCTAACATTTGGTTTCGACTTCCATCTGCAAGAGGTGATTCATGGCAACATATTTGCTTGCGACTTGGCAGACCTGGTTGTATGTACTGGGATGTTAAAATAAATGACCAGCACTTCAGGGATTTATGGGAGCTTCAGAAAGGGAGCAGTAATACACCATGGGGTTCTGGTGTTCGAATTGCTAATACATCTGATATAGATTCACATATACATTATGATCCAGATGGTGTTGTTTTGAGCTATCAATCTGTTGAGGAAGATAGCATAAAGAAATTAGTGGCTGATATCCAAAGGCTAGCCGATGCAAGAACATTTTCCATTGGCATGCGAAAGTTGCTTGGTGTAAGAGCAGATGAGAAACTGGAAGAGTTCCTTACAAATAATGATGTCAAAATATCTGGTGGCAAGATGGCTTCAGATACTGCAGACAAACTATCGGAACAGATGAGAAGGGCATTCAGAATTGAGGCAGTTGGGCTGTTGAGCTTGTGGTTTAGCTTTGGTTCAAGTGTCCTTGCTCGTTTTGTTGTTGAGTGGGAATCCGGTAAAGAGGGTTGCACAATGCATGTATCTCCTGATCAACTTTGGCCTCATACCAAGGTTTGTTTATTTTGCTTCAACTGATTGCTATTTGGTTGCTGTTCTCCTCAGTTTTCCCCAAAATCTGCATTCTTGTGCCAGTTTTGGAATATGCAACTGATGCTCATATTCTTTTGTCATGCTTTAGATTATGTAAAATTAAAAATTTATGAATGCTACAATATCACTTCATGACTGTCAGGGCTGTCTCAAACAATGTTGAGGCCCTGTGCTACTCTTAAAAACAAGGCCCTAATATAAAAGCACAAAAAATTTAAAAAAAAACACTTCTATTTAAATTTATATTTGTAGATAATGTACTTAATTTTATCCAAAAGGACAATCAATGTATGAGATGTAAAATGTTCTATTGCTCGTTATATTTGTACTTAATTTTAAGTGTCTGAATTAATTTTCCCTGTAGTTCTACTCTTCCAATTCCTGCCAATAGTTTTAGTGCCATTGTGTAAATGTAATGCTCAAAGTGATCATTATTGTTGTATCTAATAAAAAACCCATGTACTAGTAAGAGGTTTATCAATATGGAGATATTTGAGGCCCACATCGAATATTGATAAATCTAGTTTGTCAATATATTTGAAGTCCCACATTGAATACTGATTAACCTTGAGCAGATAAATTTGGCTATGAATAGATTGTGTTAACTAGTACAGTTTCTTAATAAATAAGGTAAGAAACAATCACCCAGGCGGGCCAGGTAGTTCTACTCTTGCCAATCTTTTAGTGCCGTTGTGTAAGTGTAATGCTCAAAGTGATCATTATTGTTGTATCTAAAAAAAATCCATGTACTAGTAAGAGGTTTGAATATGGAGGATATTTCAAGTTCCACATCTCGTCAAATATGGAGATATTTGAAGTCCCACATTGAATACTGTTTAACCTTGAGCAAACAAATTTGGCAATAAATAAATTGTATTAACTAGTACAGTTTTGCAATAAATAAGATAAGATACAATTGCCAAGGTGCGCCTGGTAGACATATAATTCTAACGAAATGGATACTTTGCCACTTTCTAAATGGAGAGTTGGAAATAAATCATATTTTATCGCGTTAGTTTTAAATTTTTGAGGCTCCTTAAAGTTGGAGGCCCTGTGCTATGGGTCTGTCTGCACTGGCACAGGGCCAGCCCTGATGATTGTTTCCCTTCCCACCTCAGCCTAACCCCATTTTCTTGTGTTTTCCTCTCCTTTCCCCAGATTCAATACTCAATCTTGCATGGTATTGTTCTCCCTTGGATGTACATCGTCCATTTCATGCTTACTCTGCATATGTATACATCTTTGGGTAACCTAGCATGGAAAATGTTTCTTTCACATGGTCACCTGTTTATACAATATAAACTAAAAAGTGCAGTGCATTAGTGTTTCTTTATTTTTTATTTTTTTCCTTTCTGATTATGTCTTCTGATATGCTTGATGCAATTTTAATTGTGATACTTCAGTGGTAATAATTAATAAGAAATCAGTTACTTTATGGAAAGTTGTCTTTTGTATAGATTTATGAAATTATGAAATATCGTCCTATATGATTCCCCACCATCCCCCCGAAAATCCCTGGCCTATATATTTACTATATTATATGCTTGTATTCTTTACAGTTTCTAGAAGACTTCATAAATGGAGCTGAAGTTTCGTCGCTTCTGGATTGCATTCGGCTGACTGCTGGGCCGTTGCATGCTCTCGCAGCGGCAACCAGGCCAGCACGGGCTGGTCCTATTCCGGGTGTTGCAGCCGCTTTATCTTCTTTCCCTAAACAGGCCAGTTATATATCCTCACAAGGACTTCTGCTTGGTAGTTCAACATCAACCGCTAATGTTGGTCAGCCTGCTTCTGGTCTTGGAGCAAATACCGGTGTGTCTAATGCTACTGCTGGTATCTCTAACCAAACTCTTTCAATGTTAGCTGCTGCTGGCCGTGGTAGCCCAGGCATTGTTCCAAGTTCACTTTTGCCCTTTGATGTCTCTGTTGTGCTCCGTGGTCCTTATTGGATACGAATCATGTACCGAAAACAGTTTGCAGTTGACATGCGTTGCTTTGCAGGAGATCAGGTGTGGTTGCAGCCTGCCACACCTCCTAAAGAGGGTCGTCCTTCTGGAGCGTCATTACCATGCCCCCAATTTCGGCCTTTTATCATGGAACATGTGGCCCAGGAATTAAATGGATTAGATCCTAGTTTTACTGGACAACAGGTCGGTGGGCTGACAAGTTCAAACAGTACTAACCCAAATTCAGGGACCCAATTGATGGGTGCAAATGGAAACAGAATAAACTCTGCTGCAATGTCTAGGACAGGAAACCAAGTAGCTAGTTTAAACCGTGTGGGAAATGCTTTGGCAGGGTCATCAAACTTAGCTTTGATGACATCGGCAGTACCTCCTCGAAGGCCACCTGGAACAGTTGTCCCAGCACATGTTAGGGGTGAATTGAACACAGCCATTATTGGTCTTGGTGACGACGGAGGATATGGAGGTGGTTGGGTTCCTCTTGTTGCCCTTAAAAAGGTTTTGAGAGGCATTCTCAAGTATCTTGGAGTGCTATGGCTATTTGCCCAGTTACCAGATCTTCTGAAAGAGATCCTAGGATCCATCTTGAAGGAAAATGAAGGTGCCCTTTTGAACTTGGACCCTGAGCAGCCTGCATTGCGATTTTTTGTTGGGTAAGTTTTTTGTCCCACTCGTGCTGTGATTATGCCACCTCTATCCCCATGTCTAGAAACTTCATTTAACATCTCGGTTATGATTTTATTTTTCCTTTTTCTATAGTAGGACTTTTACTCTCTTTTCTCATCCTACTAAAAATGGGGAAAATAGGTGAAAATATAAACATCAATCATAGTTGTGTGTTATTGGTAATGGGTTGTCTGCAAATCTTTTTCATCTACACCTTTAATACTTATTTCTTTGTTTTATTTACTTGGCTGGCCAGTTCATGTAACATATTTGAATTTTGGATACGGACTTGAAATAAAATGCTTTTTTATCATTTATTTGTTAACTTATAGTTTGGACATGATAGGTCAGATGTTGTTCTTATTGATACTTTATATGACTGTTATAGTTGGCCTAAAATAATAATTTTGATTCTTTTTATTTTTAGAAGTTCAATTTTGTCCCCTAAGTTATTAATTAGTACACATCCAGAATAAGTTGATTCAGGGTCCCTCTTGCCTACTAGCTGTTGGAGTGTTAGCCTTTTTAAGTTGAGTCAGTGTCCTTCCTTAATTCCATTTATCAGATACTAAATAGGCATACACTGTCTTTTCATCGTTTTGCAGGGGATATGTATTTGCTGTTAGTGTCCACAGAGTTCAGCTTCTTCTACAGGTGTTAAGCGTAAAACGATTTCACCACCAACAGCAGCAGCAGCAACAAAACTCCAGTCCTGCACCAGAGGAACTGAGTCCATCTGAAATAAGTGAAATATGTGACTACTTCAGCCGTCGGGTGGCATCCGAGCCCTATGATGCTTCTCGTGTTGCTTCATTCATAACCATGCTCACCTTACCTATACCAGTTTTGAGAGAATTCTTGAAGTTAATTGCTTGGAAGAAGGGATTAGCTCAGGCACAAGTTGGAGATGTCGTTTCAGCTCAAAAACCACGAATTGAATTATGTCTTGAAAATCATGTTGGGTTGAACGGGGATGAAAACGCAGATAGCTCATCTGCATTTAGAAGTAACATCCATTATGATCGTCTGCACAATTCAGTTGATTTTGCACTTACTGTTGTTCTAGATTCTGCTCACATCCCACACGTCAATGCTGCTGGTGGTGCTGCTTGGTTGCCTTACTGTGTTTCTGTAAGGTTGAGATATTCATTCAGTGAAAGTGTTAATGTATCCTTTCTCGGCATGAGTGGTAGCCATGGTGGGAGGGCATGTTGGTCGCGTGTTGATGATTGGGAGAAATGCAAACAGAGGGTGGCACAAACAGTGCAGGTTAGTGCGAGCTCAGCAGCCGATGTAAGTCAAGGTAGGTTGAAATTAGTTGCAGATAGTGTGCAAAGAAATTTGCATATGTGTATTCAAGGGCTTAGAGATGGTAGTGGGGTCACATCCAGCTCTGGAGCAACATGATTTTGTTAATTTTGGCAGTGATTATATTTATATATATTGGGTTAGTGCTGTCAATATACATAGTTTACTATGGTATGGAAACCTCATTGGCATTTCACATTGGAGCATAGGTTTGAGGGCACCAATTTTAGATTTCTAACATTTAAAACGAGCATTTGACTCATTTCAGATCGTAAGATTTGAAATAGGTTGTACAATATTTTGCTGTTAGTGTAGTATCTGAATTTTATCTTTTGGGTTGGTGGATTTTGTTGTACATAATGACATCTTAAATAATTTGATTAGCAAAAGAAATTTGTTATGCTCAGAATTCTATACCTCCATCGTTTTATATCACACACGAAGTGTATACCCTACTAGCAAGACCCTTACACTCATTTGGTGTAACGTCGAAAGCATAGCATTTTTAAAATGCTCAGTTTTTCCTTATTTAAGAGTATGTTTACATGAAATATTATGGAAAATAATTTTTTGAAAAAATTTAAAATGAATTGATCAAAATATATTGGTTGTATAAAAGTTGTGGAGGATTGTTAAAATTATGAAAAAATTTAAAATTGCTCGATCATTTATATAGTAAGAAAAATACGAATGTTAAATTGTTTGTCATTCATTTCTAAATTCACATTCTAAAATTTTCAATAAATTGTAAATAAGTTTAATAATTTTCAAAAATTTCTCTTCAAAATTTAAAAATTGCAAATTAGTCATTCTTTTTCATATTTTTAATTTGACTTACAAGTTTTAAAATTTATGAAGATGACAATTTTCTTTTAACAGTAATTATTTTAATACAACACCAAAACAAAAAATATTTAAAAACGAATGAATTTCAATAGAATCATTTGAACTTATTTGAATGAGTCATTTTAAAAGCGAATATAATATTTTAAGAGAATTTAAAATGATTTGGACAAAATTTATTATTTTAATTAAAAAAATAAAATAATGAATTCTAAGAGATATTGAAAATATTGTATTGAAGTTAAATTTTATAATATTGAAATCACATCTAAAATCAAAGAATTTCAAATTCCTTTCATACTTCATATAATTTGAATGTCAAATTGATTAATGTTATTATTTTAAAATTTGTAAGTTGGTTTTCATATTTTTTAAAATTTTCAAAAAATTGCAAACTAGTCCTTACTATTTTTCATAATTTTTCAAATTTAAAATTTGGCTTTAAAACTTTAAAAATTTAAAAAATTACCTAAAATCTTACAATGATTTATCTTGATACTCCATATAAACAATATTTATTAATAAATAAATAAATGTCAATTGAATCATTTATAATTGCACACAATTTTTTTATAAAGTCACCAAAAATAGAAATGCAAACAAAAATCATTCATTCATGAAAAGTGGGAGACTCCTTAATCACAAAGCAGTATCATTTGACTCAACATGTAGTGGACCACCACAACCATTAACTTATTATTAACATTTCTATTTTGAAAGTTTATAGTAGTATAGACTCATTGCAATGGAAAACTTCAAGCATAAAATCACCACTGATTAATAGCCTAGCTATGGTGCTAAAAAAGGTTTATTCATGGAAGGGGAATTAAGAATTGCATCTGCCTTACTTCTCAATGGTGAACAACCTTCATAAATTTTTTTTTGGTGGCAATCTAGCTATGAAGCTTGCAGACAATATTATGCTCTTCATTATAGGTAATTTATCTTCTTTGTGTTGGAATTCAACCACAATTTATGGAGAATTTCTTTTCAGCCTTAATTTCAAAATTGTTATTTAATAACAATAAACAAATGAGAGAGAAAAAAAGAAAGAAAAGAAAAATATTGGAGAAGAAGATGAATTTCTGCAGAGAATTCTCTATCCTGTGGAATTTTATTATCACTTTGCAACTGGAAAACCGTGAGTATCAAACTTGATGATTACAATGAAAATGGTTCATCCCTATTTATAGATTTAGGTTAACTTGTATCTCAAGTTAAAGCACAAACTATAAAAACACAAAAAAATTTAATCTAATCTTTCTAAATCAAATTCGATCTTTCTAAATCAAATCAAATCTTTCTAAAACAATGAATTACATATTTAACACACCACCTAATTCATTGTGTCTAAACTATTTACATTTATCATAGATCTTAACTTCTTGAACACTTCGACTGACACTCTCTTCGTAATGATGTTTGCAATCTGATTCTCAGTTCTGTAGTGTTTCAAGTTCATCTTCTCTTTTGCTACTTGCTCTTGAAGATAGTGTAACCTCATTTCGATGTGCTTGCTTCGACCATGTGCTATTGAATTCTTTGTCAAGTTGATAGTTGACATGCTTTCGACCTTCATGGTAATTGCTCCATGACTCTTTGATGTGATCTCTTCAACCAGGTCCACCATCCAGGTTGCTTAACATGCAAAAGAGAAACTACTATATATTCTGCTTCACATGATGACAATGCCACTACTGGCTCCTTTCTTAAACTCCAGGTAACTCGTGCACCACCTAACATAAACACATAGTCAATTGTGGACTTTCTATCCTCAGCATCACTACACCAACTTGACTCAGTGTATCCCACTAGCTTGTATTTTTTTCCTTCATCAGCTGCAGGAAACAAAATGCAGTAGTCGAGAGTTCCTTTCAGATACGTCAGTTTCCTCTTCGTTGTTGCTAGGTGTGATAACTTTGACTTCTGCATGAATCTACCTACCATACCCACATTGTATGCTAAGTCAGACCTTGTATGACAAAGGTATCTAAGTGACCCAATAAGTCTTCTATAATGGGTTGGATCAACATCATCTTCATATGAATCCTTCGACAGTTGCAATCTAGTCTCAACTGGAGTCGAAGTTGGGTTGCAATCTTGCATCTCAAATCTCTTGAGTATTTCGCCTGCATATCTTCTTTGGTGCATCATCAAACCTCTACTAGTCTTGTAGAATTCGATGCCAAGGAAATATGAGAGATTTTTCAAGTCTGACATTTTAAACTCCTCACTTAGGTCATGTTTGAAATTTTCAATCTCCTTTTTGCAACTTCCTATTATCAACAGGTCATCGACATAGAGACATAGTATAAGCAATTCACTATTGTTTCTCCTTACATATACTCCATGCTCAGTTGTGCACTTCATAAATTTCTTCTCCCTTAGAAAGTTGTCGATCTTCTTATGCTTGCTTAAGCCCATACAGGGCTTTATCCAGACTGTACACCTTACTTTCTTCGCCTTGTTTCATAAACCCAGCTGGTTGTGCAACATAAACTTCTTCGTTTAAGGAGTCATTCAAGAATGCACATTTCACATCCATCTAACATGTGCGCCAATTTTTCATGTTTGTTAGACCAATAACCAACCTGATTGTTTCGATCCTAGCAACAGGTGCAAAAACTTCGTCGAAGTCGATTCCTTCCTTATGTAGAAATTCTTTCGCCATAAGTCTCGTCTTGTGTCAAGTTACTTCTCCTTTAGGATTCACCTTCACTTTGTAAACCCACTTCACATCAATTGCCTTCTTGCCTTGAGGCAATTTGACAAGTGGTCGGGTGTTGTTGACTTTGATAAAGTCTAACTCCTCATTCATTTCTTTCACCCACTTTGAATCTTTCAATGCCTCAACTACATTGACTGGTTCGACATCTGCGTAGAAAGCATAACGTACCAGCTCACTCTCTTCATCGACCACATCATCTGATGTAATCACACATTCTTGCAACCTTGCAGGAATGTATCTTGTTTGTCGAGGTCTGCTTGGGCCTGCTTCATCTCTGACTTATTTCTGTTGAACTTCTCTTTTGACTTCAGTGACTAGTTCTTCACAAGAGATTCTCACTGAATTCTTCTTGACATTCTCAATCCAATCCCATTCTTTAAGCTCATCAATGATCACGTCCCTGTTGATCACTACCTTCTTATTCACTAGATCGAACAACTTGTAACCTCCAGTCGAATGATATCCTATCAAGATCATCTGATTCGACTTATCATCAAGCTTTCTTCTCAATTGATCTGACACATATCTATGTGCTATCGATCTAAACACTTTCAAGTGATTGAGTCTAGGCTTGAACCTAGACTAACATTCCTCTGGTGTGATTCCTTCAAGCTTCTTCGTCGGACATTTGTTTAATATGTATGTTGCCATCAAAACCGCTTCTCCCCATAATTATTTAGGTATATGCTTTTCATTCAACATATTTCTCACCACATTCATGATGATTATGTTCTTTCTTTCTGCAATTCCATTTAGATGTGGAGTGTAGGGTGGTATCACCTCATGCACAATCCCTTCTTTTCACATAACTCATCGAACTCTTTTGACACATACTCTCCACCACAATCAGTCCTCAGAATTTCCAGCTTTTGACCACTCTGTCTTTCGACCATAGATTTGAATCTGGAAAATACCTCGATCACATCACTTTTCTTTTTGATGAGGTAAGTCCACAGTTTTCGACTATAATTATCTATAAACGTGACAAAGTATTTGTTGCCTGCAATTGTATCCACCTGGATTGGACTATATACATCAGAGTATATGACTTCCAGAATTGCCTTCGACTTCCTTCCTGCATCCTTGATGAAGCTATTCTTGTGTTGTTTCGACTGAACACACTCTTCAGATTCTTCACTTGGAATGTCGATTTCAGGTAATCCTGAAGCCATATTTCTTCTCTTTAGGTCTCTGATGTCATTGAAGTTGAGATGACCTATTCGAAAATGCCATAACCAATCATCTCTGTTGGCTGCAGTTGCTAGGCACTTATGTTCCATTACTTTGGGTTCAATATTGAAGGTCCTATTCTGAGACATTGGAGCCTTCAAGATCAATCTACCACCTGCGTCAAGAACTCTCATCATCTTGTCTTCGACAACTATCTTGTAGTTCTTTTTGAGAAGCTATCATATACTGAGCAAGTTACTTTTCATGCTTGGTATGTATAACACATTGGAAATTATTGATTTCTTGCCATCCTTCCTCACGATCTAAACATCACCAACAACTTCAACTGCTAGAGTGT